TTTGCTTTTTGTACCTTTTTTGTTACAGAGAATTTGGAAATAACATTACACCCTGTTGTTTAACTGCCTTTAAAAATGTGGTATGCAGAGCAAATAGCTTAATTTTATGGGGTTTTGTAGATGCGAAACTCTGGAACAGAACCAAAAGACACCCCGAGTGCCAAAACAAATGAGGAAAATCACTCCCCTTTCTAGCCTGGCAGAACATTTATACACGATAGCTTAAAAAAACATAACTTTCCATTTCCAGTGTGGCCTTTCTTTATGATACTTTACCACCTGAGCTCATGTTTGGCTTCAGTCCTGGGCCTGTTAAACTCTGTTAAAAAATAAAAGTAACAACAACAACAAACCCAATCAAGCAATGGAAATTTAGCAAAATTTTCCCATATATTGGATTTTACTCTGCTGAATCTCATCATTTAATTCTTTCCTCTCTCCTCCACATTTGCCCAAGGTGATCAGATCAACACCCTACCTGCCTGAAGTGAGACTACCAGTCTTTTAAAACTTTGATTATTATCGGCATCCTAAGTATTTCTGTCCTGATTAAGCTGGAAATACTTACTGATTTGTTTGATACTCCTTACATGTTCATGCTAATGAATCTAATCTTTCAAACTTTCCTACTCCGAGTGTCTTTGGTAGATGTTGACTTTGCAAAGAATGTGATAAGGCGCACAGACGGTGCAATCCAGTCAGCTCTCCGGGAGTAAGCAGGCTGCCTGAAGCTCTGGTCTGAGAGGCCTGAGAGGCCTGAGTAGCACACAGAAATTTGTCACTGCTTTGCCCTCTTATGTTACAGTCTAACAAGAGCGAAAATTAAGCACACAAGTCACTGCAGTCTTAGAGAAAATAAGAACACTAAGTCCTAGAGAAAAGGAGAGAGAAATGCTAACTATGGAAAATAGATCAAGAAGGGCTTTGTGGTGAAACCCTTCAAAAAATGGGTTCATCTGCAAGGGTAACTTCATCCTTCTTGGAGCCATTGCCATTATTAGGTTTGCTGCCAGGAACGAGGCATATTCTGACAGTCCTAGAAAAGCCATTTATCGTCTTCACCATCACACGATGTATTATCGTTCGCTCATGTCAAAATCTGTGAAGGGCCTAAGATTCTGCCTCATATTTAAGATAAGTTGACCTGTCTCAACCTCGTAGGTGCTGTCAGAGGATGTTAGTGTCCCGGGGCAGAGACAAAGGACTCTATTGCTCAGGCACAGTGGGTGGCGAGAGCTTCAGGTTTCCATTAGCCTTCCAGCCTCCCCGTCCCATGTGTGCAGCGGGACGGCAGCTCAGGAGAAGCTGCACATGGGCGGACATGTGTGGCATTGGAGGGGCTGCTGGCTTACGCGGTGACTAAGCCAGTGTGTCCATGCTTTGACCAGAGGGAGACATTAGAGTTTTATTCTGGCCAAGAAATAAATCTTCCGTTTTCCCTGGAGAGAGCATCTGTCTTTATATTTCCAAACTATTTGAAAAGAGAGTCTGAAACAAAAGTCACCCAAAGAAGTGTAGAAATGCCGGAGAGAATTTTCCTGCAAACAGCACACGGACTCAGTCCTGGAAACAGTCATTAGAGAAGAATTTAAAGTATAGGATGTGATGTTCTGGAAACACAGCCTAAAGAAGTTACCATTTTATATATTAATAAAAATGGATAAGAATGGATGCTAATATATTTTAAAAAGAAAATCCCTGCAACTTACAATATTTTAAGAATCAATGAATTATTCTTCATAATGGAAGAGGTGTTCTCTACTTTGTGCATATTGGAGCATGAATTAATTATGAAAATCTTTCCAAGGACACACAATCCTAAAATAAATTTGTATTTTGACTTTATACACACATATGTATGGAAAGTCTCTCTATATTTATCTACTCTAACATATGCATTTGAATAATTTATGCATTCCAGGGAAGGCATAATTCCCAAACCAACTTGAATCTTTAGGTAGAACGATGGGTCTTAGAAATAAATCATCTAAGAAATTCCATCATCCAGCGTAATAATGTCTATCCGAACAATCACAGGCCCCATGAAGGTTACCATCCGGCAGCGGCATTGCAGGGTCCTGGCCGTGGGACAGAGCTGGTGATGCTTTGGGCTCCAGCACCTCCGCACCCGTCCTGAGATCCACACATCTATTTAGTGTCATCCCCAAGCCATATCCTGTCCCCGAGGCACAGGCTGCTAAGGCTGAGGTCCTGTACTTCAGGGTTCTATGTGTGAGCTTTACGTTTTTTTAAAGCATATTTTCTGTCCAGTTTTTCCTTGCCTGTAATGTAAAAATCTAATACGCCTTCACTTCAAATGTGTGTGCTGTGCCGGGAGCCAGAGAACACCGACGCTGAGCGCTGTTAGCAGGAATCACGCCGGGGCTCGGAGCAGTGCTTTAGATGGAGGAGGCAAACCACAGGATACTTGCTGTTAGGGTAAAAAACCTAATCATGCAATAGTTGCCGTAATAACGGCATTGCCGCCACTTTTATAATTCTTAGTATTCCTCAGGCTTCAGGGCTTGGGCTTGACTGTGTCCCGTCTGAGTTACGTGATGGGCCTTTCTACTCTGAAATACAATGGCCTGACCTGTTATTTTATGAGACACAACTTTAGGGGAAAAAAAGGAACTTTTTTTTTTTTCAGTACCGGGAATTGAACTCACAACCTCGCACTTGCCAGGCAGGCGCTGTGCCGCTGAGCTAAATCCCCAGCCCCCAAAAAGTAACTTTTGAACATTCTTAGGATTCAAACATGTGTGTCAGACTTTGTGAATGAAATACCTACAGGGAGGAGACAACTTCCAGGCGAAAGGACAGCCTATCCCCTTGGAAAAAGTCTTTACCTGTTCAAGCCAGAGGAATACTGACTGCCACATGAGCATGCGCAGACCCAGGGTGGCTTGTAAAGCACCTTAAGGAGGAAGAGAGCATGTGTCATGGCCTCTGAGAGCTCCATGCTACCTAGATGGGAAATTTCTACTCCATCACCAAAATCTTAACTTGACAATGGTAACTGCTTGCAAAGGGAAGAGAACCAAGGAATTTGTGAGGTTGACTGGCTTCATTAGAGGTAATAAGGAAAAATAAATATATAAGGGGTTCTGGTGGGGACCAGCATTCCCTCAAGATAGAGTCGTCAGGGTTGAGCAGCATTACCACGAGGACACCATGAGGCTGCCTGGGAGTCTGAGCGTGGCACAGGCAGGAGCATGGTGGAGCTTTTCCAAGGTGGTGGGAGGGGGACAGATCCTGAAAATGTGGGGTGAAGATTAACGGAAAGCTGACCCTCTGGAGGCCTGGGAACCTCCGGGAACACACCAGTTGCCCCTCTTACTCACATGGACGACACTGTTTAGTTCACTGATAGACCTACTGCTCCGTGGACCTACCTACAGGTTTGCACAGACAAAAGTGCATTTTCTAAAAAAGAAGCTTCCTTGATAATACCATCCTTTTGACAAAGTTGTGCTAAGGATGATATTTGATATTGTATTTTAAAAGCTCAGCACAAACATTCCAAAGTTGATCATGGCAAGTGCGGGTAGGGGCTAGAGGATGGCTGGTACGGACAGGCTGTTCCAGTATTGCATCCACAGAGGCATAGACACCCAGGGATTCTGCCCCTGGCTATCCGTACCGGTGTTGCTCACATGCAGATCCTAAGGGGCCTGTGGAGAAATCAGGGCCTCGTCTTTGGGAAAGTTGGTGAGAAAATGTGGGAGATCCACACCCTGGATGTCAAAGCAATTAGAAACAACGGACTCCATGGGCTCATAGACTCTTGAGCACGCTCAGAAACCAAATTTGTCATCACAAAAAAGAGAAAAGTTGCAAAATCCAACATCTTTTACATAAGCTAGAAATATACGCACAAAGCAGACCCTATACACGTTGTAAGAATATAGGTGAACAATGAAAAAATACCCAGCAGCAAGGTGTAAGGTGACTTTCCAGTAAGATGTAAATATGATGCAGAAGGTGGGAAGGGGATGAATCAGTGATGGCGAACCTCCTAGAGCTTCCAGTGATAACAAGTAGCTTGCTGTGGCCCGTGTGCCGTAGGTTTGCCACTACTGGGATGAAACGCTGAAATAGGAGAGGGATGTTTCAGGACCAATGACGATGAGAGAAGACTGGAGCAGTAGAGCAAGTTCAATCCTCTGAACACAAAACAAAAGAAAGAAAAGAATAAATGTACTAACAGAGTTTCTGGAAGAAAGTACGACTGGTTCTATAGTTCAAGCAAAAAATAAAGCGGGAAAAAGAATCTAAGAAAAGACCATGATAAAGAAAACAATGTTTCAAAAATAAATTAGTTAGCATTTAGAAATATATGGAACAATTATGCACTCATTTCTGTGGTCCTGGCAAAGTGTTAGACACCGTTAGAGAAGAAAAAGAAGCATATGGTATATTCTCCCTCTTTGAGAAACAGGCAACAAACGTGAAATGCAATGAAAACTTCGGAAAGCCAGTTGGAAACTGGTAACAGTGCTTTGCATGATAACGCAGTGTGTAGCCTAGTGCACGTAGGGCAGTGCTTTGCAAGCACAACTCCAGGGCCACCCTCCCTTTAATCCTTTCCTGCCCCGGACTTTATGGAGCCTGCCCCACTCCAGGTGGGGAAAATGCAGAAACTGCCCAAGAAGGAGCTGGCTGTGGAGGAGCAGACAGCCGGCTTGGTTCTGAGGAAGCCTGCGAGGGCGGGCGGGTGGGGAAGGCCTGAGTGCAGTGTGGCCGCTCTGCGGATCGGAGCAGGCAGGGAGCCGCTAGGACATTAACGAAATAAGAAGGTTCAGCATGAAGCAATAGTTCACAGATGAGTTTCTCAATTATGCAAATAATTATGCAAACCAGCAAAAGTCTTATTGTATCTTCCCAGAAAATAGCACAAAATGGAAATCCATGAAATTGTAGAAGAAAGTGAATCGGTTTTTTAGTGCGATTTATTTTTATATGCTGTTGCCATAATAGTCCATTATCTTCTGTTCCAGATTCACTGGCCCAGTACAGAACTAAAAATAGAAGAATGCATAATGAAAGGGAAGGACGCAGTAAGTATTGCTCATTGTCAACTCCACAAATACCAATTATATTCCCGCCCGGCCACAAAGAACTTTTATTTGTTATGAAAAAGAACTTTTATTTGTTATCAAAGAGCATATCTGCAGTTTAGTTCATCAGGAAAAGTATAAACATATATGTTTACTGAATATATGAGTGTATGAAATTAGCTTCAGTGCAGGCTTGCAGGAAAACAGTTGCCATCCAGATCTGGGATTTTGTTTTGTTTTGATAATCTTGGATTTATAAATTCCTTATGCTAAGGCTGATTTGCAGTACAGCTGGAAAAACTATAGTATCATTATTTTTAATTTGAGGAAAGTGTAGACACATTGTGAGATTTACCTTCACTTTGATTAGTAAAGCAGAAACAAGAAATGGAAGGAGAGAGACATGAAGTTTGAGGAGGGACAGAGGTGAAGAACATGCATTTGGGGTCTTCCTGGCTCTGGGCAGCGGGCCTGTCTCGGTGGCTTCCACTAGTTGTGGGAGTGAGAGAGGCTGTGATGGGGCAGCCCTGGTGCCCTGGGGGACAGGAGCCAGAGGACCCGCCAGGCCATGGATGGTAGCTGTGAGACACATCTCCAAGGAAGGCTACAAATCTCCCTGTGAAAGTCAACTTACCCTTTATCTACTAAGAAAAAAAGCCACGCGAATGACTAATCCACATTACACCAAGTCCTGTTCTCTGTGGCACCTGCATCAGAGCCAGCAATGAGCCCACCGTTCCTGTGGCCCGATCCCGGTGTGGTGCTGACTAATGGAACATCCTCTCGGCACTGTCAGTCTAAACTTGATGGAGCCAACATGTGGCCCAGCTAGCTCACTTCCAGGTGTGACAGTGTGTCCACCGAGGAAAAGCAGGTGCCCTGCAGAGTGAGGACAGAATGTCCACCACGCCTGACAATCAGATTCTACCACTCCATAGTCACCCACGCAGGGTTACGGAGAGGGAAATGAACACTTGATTGCCCTGGACTAGTGTGTTCCTTACGCTTGCCCAGGCACGGCACTCTGTCGGTCCATCTAGAGCCGTACATCCCTCAGGTTTGCTGTCCTAGCACTGCTACGGGAGAGACTTTATGTGCTGAAGTCGCAGGCTGTCCGTGCAGAACATTATATGTGCAGAATGTTAACGTGTATTCTTTTCAAAGCAGTAATGGCATTAACAGAATTTAGTATTTCACCCATAATTTATGTTTTTAATTTTAATTTTATTAGTACACATTTATAGTACACAGTGGTTGTATTCATCATGGGCAGTACAAAAAGCAAAACAAAATATAAGAGGGAGCCGGGAGAGACATTTTGCAAGTGGGAGGGATCAAGCGACGGAGGAAGAGGGGAGCGAGGGGAGGGAAGGCTACCTAAAAGAATGAAGGTGTGTCAGGATTCATTCTGAATAAAATAGCAATACCAGCTTGACAAAAGGTATTTGCTACAGTAATTCAGCCAAGATGGTTTTGAAGCTATTTTAAATCTTTTCTTTCATTCAGAAAACTGACACTAACACGCACCTTGTCATAGGGTATTAAAAGTTGCCGAGTGTGTTGTGTGTGTGTTAGAGCGTGGACTTGATTATGGCTTCGAGAAACTGATGTGTGAGCTGATGTGTAACAGCATGAGGCCAGTATGCCGCAGTCTGTTTTGTGTGTAGAGTTTTATAGACCACAACCACGCTGTACTCTTCCGAGGACCTCTGGCTACAGCAAGGGGCGAGTGGTGGCAGCAGAGGCCAGTTCGCCCACCAAACAAAACACACATTCAGTCCGATCCTTTATGGAAGAGTTCGTTGGGCCTCGGGCTGTGCTTTCATAGCACTTATAATCTTACAATGAAATGTTATTTAGGTTGGATTTCTTTCTATTCACTTGAAAATTCTCTCTGAAATTAGTAAAGCCCTACAGTCTGCCTACACTTCCTTATGAATAATAAAGCTACACTAATTATTGGTTTTCTGACTTTGTGCTGATTCACTGTTTACACTGTACTGAAAAAACAACAGCATTGGGAATAACTTAATTACACAAAGGAACACATTGCTATGCGAATCTGCGAGCTTGAATACGTTTCTGAGCAGTGCTTTGCTGACTCCACCGTTGGGATGTTGAATATGTGAAAAGATTCACTCCATTACAAAACGGAACTCGCACCTCACTGCCAACTGAAGTGCACGCGACAGTCCCCCAGTTCCTTCTCCTCAGTCCTTGTCTTCCTCCTGCCTGCCCCTCCCTCTTTCTCCCTCCACCCGGAGAGACCTGTGGGAAAACATGGGATCTCCAACATGAAGGAAAACAAAATCGAAAAGCGTCAGCGCCTAACTAACGTGTTACCCTAACCAGCGTCTTCCCTTTGGATCCTGCTCTAGAGCGAGTGTGCGAATTTCGTTCGTGTTTTGCATCACTACAACAGGACCCACCTCCTGGCGTGTGGTACCGGAGCCTTCGACCCGCTGTGTGCCTTCATTCGAGTTGGTTATCAGCTGGAGGTAAGACAGATGCATTCACTGTTATGAGTAAAGGTGATAGTCGCACAGGTTCACTTTAAAGGAAAGGTGGTGCCATTTTTTCCCAAAAAATAACAGAAATACTTGGGATACATTGATTTAGTTTGCTTGAGACAAAGAAATTATTTCTGACCCTTTAAACCCTGTCAGTTATAAATCTGTGAACTAATTCTCTATATATTTATTCAGCAATTTTATTTGCTTAATTTGTTCACTTAAAAATTTTTATTTACATAGAACAGTTCTCCTACTATATATATTTATTAATTTATCCACCAAACAAACTGGAATCTATGGGACTAGAGAAAGATATAATTCATATAAGTAAAATACTGCATATGATATTTTACGTAGGACATGCAAGGAGACTTCTGACTCTATGATTACTTTCTCCCAGCCCAGCAAGGTGGGGAGCACAGGAGGGTTATGGATTTCAAATGCACTGAAGGTGAATGTTAGTGGGAGAAGCTGTTCACCGCTTTCCCTGTGACTCACAAAGTTATACAGTAATATAGGCAGATTCCAAGAGAATTCTGCACCTATCCCATAGTTACTGATCGAAGATCAGTCACAGCTGTTCCTACAAGCTGGCCAGTCGCATTCACAGCACTATGGTATGTGCCTCTGAAGCACTTTCTATCACAGTTGCCCCAGAAGTCTATGAAACAATATTCTGATACCAAATGGTGACCTGTCACTTAGTCAGAAAGTGCAACGCTCCATTAGAAGGGGCAGAGACAGAATAGAGATCTAGACACCTATCGCCAAGTGCCTAGACTCGTGATACTTATACCCTCTTTAGAAAAGGGTAGCAGTGACTGAAAAATATGTTTAGCAACTGAAGATAGGGAACAACATTCATTTTACCAGTAAAATATCATTTCTGATATACTCTTTAACTCAACTGCAAGCATCATTACGAATATCGACATACCTAATAGTGGAAGTACCCAGGGAGGGCCCCGGATTGGGCTTTTGCAGCTGTTAGTCATCCTCACAGGCAGGATGTTCAATGAACAATTTCATCTGCTAGTTTACCACCTGTAATTGTAAGTTAAAGTACTATACATAAGTACATCACAATATATTTGCCGAATCATTTTAGAGAAATGATGCAGATAATGTAATAGAACTCTAGACAGATATGTAGAAGGCAAGTCAGGCAAAGTGTATATGTGTATATACAAGTAGACATACACAAAGTTAGAACATGTATAATCTCATGGTACACATCTGCTAGCAACAAATTCTGTTTTTATCTATTTCAAAACGTGTTTGTTGCTTCTTTATTTTTTCAGAAGTATTTTCTTTGGATATAGAATTCTGGCTTAATAGTTCTTTTTATTTTTCCATTTATCTTTTAGCATTTTAAAAAAACTTTATTATCTTCTAACCTCTTTGTAATGTGAGTTAATATTTCATTTATAATGATATTATCCTGTTAGTAATTATTTCATCTTTCAAGATTTTACCTTAAGCTTGGCTTTTTAGAATTTTTCCTATAGTATATCTTAGAGATGATGGAGGAGATTATATTAGAATATTGATATTCTTGGATGCATGCATTTATATTTTTCTAACTTTTTGTTATTTCTTATTTAAATAATATTTCTGCTTTCATTTTCTTCAGGAATTTATGTGTATACATGCACACACACACACATATATATATAGATATACATATATGTTAATTCTCTAGGCCTTGTCCCATAGAGTAATAAAACTCAGTTTATTTCTGTTTAAACTTTGTCCCTGCTTTTTTTTTGGTCTTTTTGAGACAGGGTCTTGCTATGCAGTTCAGGTTGGTCCTGAGCTCACTTTGTAGCCCAGGTTGGTCTTGAACTCGAAATGATCCTCCTGCCTCAACCTCCCAAGTGCTGGGATTATAGGCATGTGCCACCACACCTGGATTCTGCTTTTCAAATTGTATAAGTTCTACTGGTTTATTTTCAAATATACTTTCTTTTTTGACTTTCTCAAAATGCTGTTATACTCATCCCATTAACATTCCATGCCAGTTGTATGGAACTTTATGTTCTATAACTTTCCTTTTTTATATTGTCTCTTTCTACACTGAATATCCTCCCATAGTTTCATTCATTATGATTATATTTTCCTTTAAGTCTTTGAATGCGTTTTTAACCATGCTGCAAAGTCTTTACATGCTAATTTTGACTTTTGCATCCTCTTAAGATTGGTTTATCTTGACTGATTTTTCCTTGACTAAAGGTTTTGTTTCTGCTTCTTTGCATGCATAATAATTTCACAGTATACTGAACATTATCAATCACATACTCTCAGCATCCTATTGTATTATCTTTTGAAGAGAGTTGACTTTTGTTCTGGAAAGTAGTTTACCTGGCTGGGCTGAAACCTCCAGCTCCCTTGCCATGGAGAGATTTCTGGCCTTCTTGGTGCGCCTGCTCCTTTAGCTCTGACATCAGTCAAGAATTCAGGAGATAATTTACATCTGGGTTTCAGGGAACCTACCTCGGTTTCTAGAGATCACCCTTCATTTTTCAGCTGAAAATCTGTGTATGCAGACTTTCAGTCTGGTTTATGATGTTCAAGCCAGTAAGTTGTCAGCTTCTACTTGAGTTCTGGTCATTTCTGCCACGTAAACTGGGGAAACTCACAGGTCTGTACTTAACTAACCTCCACTGCCCTCAAACAGCTGTGAAAAGGGGCTTTTTAAAACTTAATTTAATCACCATCCATGAGCAATTACTTCAACAGAAGCTGCACTATAACTAAAATTAAAACATTACGTTATGTAATTCAACTCCATATGCATGATACTGAATATTTTATCTCATAATTATCTGAGTATTAAATATGAATGAAATATTGAATCACGTCAGAATACATGAATATTATGGATCAAATCATTCTAATATTAAAATAATATTTGTACACAATTGTCTTATTCAAATATGATTGAAATAATATCTCTTATTCATCTAAATACAAAATGATACAGTTTGAGAAAAATTTTGTATATACAGTAAGAGGAACTGTGTCCCTAAAATAATAAAGGCAGTAAGAGGTTTATTCAAAACACATCATTTGGGGATTTGCTGTAACTTTCTACAAGGGAATGGAAAGTTGCAGGTCAGATAGACAGGGATATATTTTGATAAAGGAAGTTAGAGGTCCTGACGTCTGTGGTGGGGCCGCAGGTGCTTGTCTCCCTGGGTGGAGAACCGCGGGAAATAAAGCTGTGAAGGGGTCTCATGCTAGATTGGTGCAGGCGGCTCGTTCTCCAGGCAGCGCGCAAGAGATGGAGCAGCTTCGCGCATGCTTCACAGAGGTGACGCTGGTCCTGTTCAGGACGGATCCAAGCTGGGGGAGATGAAGAGGCTTCCGGGAAGCAGTGACAGGAGGCTTCCTGAGCCATCACCAGGGTTCAGCAAGTGTTACTGAACAGCAAAGTAGGGGAAGCGTGGAGCCAAGTGAGAAGCCGCCCAGTAGAAGTCACGTAACCACTTTTCTCAGACACTCCAGAGGAACAGGAATGAGAACAATTCTGCTTGTATGTCGTGTTGATAGGGCAGAAGTGCAGCCTTTACAGCAAGAGGGGCTATGACGCAGAGAAGGTGTCCGTGAAGACATGGCGAGTGCTGGGTGTTTCCCCGGGTCCGCGTTTTCGTTTCCCTGCAGTTATTTGCAGAATTGAGCCTGCAGCCCGGAGAGGTGCAATCAGAACAGACGGGCTTCTTGGGCTCCCGGGGCGGAGGGATGGCCTCCTTGAAGGAATCTCTCCTCTGCCTTACCATGTCTCTCACCTCTCCTGTCTACCTTTCACTTTCTCACCGTAACTGGGAGAAGGCATCACGTGGATGTCCGCAGTGTCCTCGGAGACCCAGTGTGAACAGAAGAGCAGACTGAGCCTCCGTATGACGGGGTTAGTGCAAATGCCGCCTCATCCTTGTACGAGGGAAACTGCTTCAAGGGGATATCACTAATGCTACAGAGACGCAGCTTCGGTAAGGGATGGTCGATTAGATTCGAAAAGCAGCGACTGAACACCCACGTGAGGATGTTGCATCTATGTAAGCGAGGGATAAAACAGTTAAGGGCAGGAAATACGAGGAAGGGGCAGGGCTGACGGCAAACGTGAGGACCACAGCGCTCTGTGTGGGGCTCCTGTGGACACTGTTGCCGTAGGTGCTGGGTAAGGTCTGGTTCTGCATATCTAGCTGATCCCTCTGTTTTTATGGGATAGGGGAATGAAGAGTAAAACCTACGCTTTTATTCCTATTCTCACAAAAGTCTTTATAACTTTTAACAGCAAAAGTATACAAATATGAAGTGTTACATAAAATACAAGATTGTATGTCACTTCAGTTGCTCATACCTGAAAGAAAATGGAAATTATACGGTGCATGCAGAGGTTCATACAGCAAAACGCAGAGGTTGCAGTGTGTGACGTAAATTTGTAGAGCACTAAAAAGGAGTCCATTGTTCCCAGCCTGCCCCTTAGAGCGCGTGGCTGGCGACGGCCCAGCCGGTTATCCTCAGTCAGTTTTCTAAGCTGCATAGCAGAGGACCCTCGAGGCTGGGCCTTGCCGCACCACGGGTTTGTCACCCGGACCTGCCAGGGGCTGCAGGCCGAGCTGCTCCGTGAGTTCCACGCGCAAGGCTGGGAGAAGGTGTGGCCCTGGCTGCAATCTGTCTAGAGCCCTGGTCACACTGTGCTGTTGCCAGAGGTGTTCCCGTCAGTTGCAGGCTGAGGCCTGCATGCCCTTGACGCCCCTCAGCCAGGCTGCCCTCAGCTCCAGAAAGCTGAGGGACACACAGTGCTCTTCTCCAGGGCCGGCAGGAGACGCCCTGAGTGGGAAGGAATTGCCTCCCAGACAGTCCTGAGAAAGGAGGGCCCATCCCCGTGATGTACGAAGGACCAGCACCCACGGGAAGCTGCCGGTTCTCACAGGTCCACAGGGAGGACCTCGGGCCAGGAACCCACAGCTGGGAGTGGGAAT